TTTTTTTAAGGATTAAAATGAAGTTTTCCATAAATTTAACTTGACTAAGTTGGTTAGAACAATGTACTGAACTGCTCTGCGCTCAAGTTTGATTTTTTTTTTTTTTTTTTGGTAGCAAAGATAAACTTAATGTAGAACATCGCTTGTAAATATAATAAAAAAATCGAAGACTCCAATAATTTTTTTTTTTCCCAAAGCTCACCTTTTTTCTTACGTACATGTTAAAACTCACCATAGTTCCTTGTTCACACAACTTTGAACCTACAAGGCTATAACTAATAAACTCAGCAACCAAACTGAAAATGGCATACAAAAAAAAATTGGGTAAAATTACACAGAACTACCTCAACTATTGGTCATGAACAGTTTCATACCTCATCTTTAAAAAGTTTCAATGTCATACCTCATCTACGAATTTGTTACAATTTCATACCTTATGTTAGTTGTCTGTCAATTCCTCCGTTAAATGCTGACGTGGCACACTTTCTATTAAAAAAATAAAAAAATATTATTAAAAACTAAAAAAAATCATTTAATATTTTTTAAATATTAATATATATATATATATATAAAATAAAAAATTAAAAAAAAAAAACCCACCCATATTCGTCTTCTCCCCCCCCTTCTTCCCCCACCCCTGTAACCCAGAAAGAAAAAAGAAGAAGAAGAAGAAAAAAAAAAAAAAAAAAAAAACCCATCTTTATCTTCCCCGACCCCCCCTTCCCTGCAACCCACCCCTTTCTACCCCTTCCCGTCTTCCCCTTCCCTCCTCCTCCACACCCACCATACCCTCTTCCCTCCTCTACATACCCCACTCCTTAAATCCACACTCATTCCCCCCTCCCCTAATTTTCTCCGTGCCCAATTTCTCCACCCGTGGAATCGGCGAAAGACGGGATTGGGGAAGATGAAGATGTTTTTTTTTTCCCGTGTTGTAGGTAGTGGGTGCGGAGGAAGAGGGAAGGGGAAGACAGGAGGAGGAAGAAATAGGTGGGTTGCGGGGAAAGGGGGGGGTCAGGGAAGATGAAGATAGGGTTTTTTTTTTTTCTTTCTCTTCTTCTTCTTCTTTCTTTCTAGGTTGCAGGGGGTGGGGGAGAAGGGGGTTGGGCGCCGGGCAGGGGGGGAGGCAGGGGAAGACGAACATGGGGTGGGTTTTTTTTAAATTTTAAATTTTTAATAACTTTTCATTAATTAATTATTATTTTAATAATTAAAAATATTAAATGATTTTTTTTTAGTTTTTAATAATATTTTATTAGTTTTTTAACAGAAAGTGTGTCATGTCACAAGCCGCATAGCATTTAACGGAGGAATTGACAGACAACTAACGGAAGGTATGACATTGTAACAAATTCGAAGATACGGTATGACATTGAAACTTTTTAAAGACTAGGTATGAAACTGTTAATGACCCAATAGTTGAGGTAATTCTGTGTAATTTACCCAAAAAAAATTCAAAAACTTCGGTTAACTAAAAAATCAAACCGATATTGAACCAAAATTTTCGATAAAACAAAAAAAAAAAGAAAAAGAATTTGTTTCGGTTTGTTAAACCAAAAAATTGGATTGAGCTAACAAAATTTAAAAGTAAACCGAAAAGTTTGATAATTTTCGATTTTGATGTTTTCGATTCAGAAAGTACCAATCCTAATAGAAAACTTACACATGATATTGATAGAGGCGTGACAACACCAGTGCTATATACTTGTCCACACAGTAAAACTTCTATCTATGAGATTGTGACGAGGGAAAAGCAAAGATAAGGGACAATTATTATTAGGTAAATGTTTGAGAGATTATATTTTTGTACTACATTAGTGTTTTATTTGATTTGGCAAATAATGTGTGCATGTCACATTAATTAATGAATATATCTAATTAGATGTTGGTTGACACACCCTGATCCAAAAATTGGGGCATGCTGGCCGTTACATGAGGGTGATGTAGCCAAGTGCGCAATGCGGAAGTAAAAGAGTGAAAATACGAGAAAAATAAAGTCAACAACATAATTTACAATAAAAAGATCAGTGAGTACTAGTAACAAACGTAGAAGGAAAAAGGCAAAGTAGAAGTTTAAGTATCCTAGGTGCAGTCTATAATAAACAAACACTACACAAGTGAACTAGAAAATCCTACATGGAGGGTGCTATGTCAAAATGCCTCGATGCCTCTGTCGTCACCCACGTCCTTGTTACCTAAAACCTGGAGGGGCGCAAAACAGAAAACGTGAGTGGGCAAAAACAAAGTTTGTTTTTCAAACCATTTCAATATCAAGTAATAACCCCTCTTTGTAATACCCGTATACTTTCCAAAAAATATTATACATACTCGTATATCAAATCATGCTAAAACGATAAAGCTCAATTATGCCATGCTAGAATATGCCGTGTCAGAATATCCAAACAAATAGTATAAGCATCAAACAGGTGAGATAAAACAAATCATAATATGCTAGTAATATTAGTACGTCAGTTGGAGTCACCTAAAGTGACCTGTATGGTTGAAACTATAGTTCCTCAACCACTATCCTGCACACAAGTCGGAACCACCTAAAGTGGTCTGTGCGACAGGCTGGTGTATCTATGTACGCTCAGTGCTACGATCACGTGAAGGCTAGGCCCTATTATGGCGGAGCACAATCATTGAGGTGCAGGAATATAAGCTATAACTCAAACTCATCAACACCTCATCTATCACTATCAAACATACTCACTTGACTTACCTGAGCGTCCATAGCGCCAAAGCATAACCATCACAATCACAATAATAATATCGACGATATTCGACATGCATTTCAATTATAAAACCATTAAAACGTAATTTCTGGAAAGATACCAATCAATATCGGGGCTTACAATTCTTCTACATATCAGTGAGTGGGCTTATATATATATATATGGCTGCGCATGTCTTTCGGATAGTCCTCACCTATATGCGAAACAACTATAACTTCTCATACATTGCTCAAATGAGCTGTTTGAATATACCAACAGGCTCTACTCAACCTCACGAACATCCCCATTTTTTAAAATCATTTTTTGACCTCCCACGCGCCACCATGCACCAGCCAAGGCACGGCCAGACGTGCCGGTCACGCGCGGGCACATGCCTGGCATGTGTGTGAAAACCCTAACGACGTTAGGGAATATTCCGTTAAAACCCTAACAGAAGTTAACACCTATTACCTGACGCCGTTAGAATATTCCATTAACTCTAACAAAATATTCGCCTCCTTCTCTGGTGAACCTCGCCAGTCGCCGCCGTCTGCAACTCAAAATTTTGCTGGTTTCTAGAAAAACTTCAAACCTTAATATCTTCTTCATTTCTTAACCAAATTCCATGAAATTTGTACCAAAATGAAGCTTACAACGAGTTTAACAAAACCTTACCACTTTGGGGGACCTAAAACCAACGGAATCTCATTGGAGAAACCTCGATAATCCAGCCAAACATGCAACTTGACGAACTTGAGCTTCCCGACGTCCAAAACACTTCAAAATTACTCCCTAAGCTTCGTGAAGACGTCCTAAAGCTTCCTAGAACCTTAAAAACTTCTAAAAGCCTCACGATCACGTGTGCATGAACAGTGCACCAAATCGGGGTTCCATGGTTCTCGGGTTTTCGAAGGTTTCACGTCGATTTAAGAGTATGGATGAGCTCTTGAGCTCACAAAGAACAAAAAAGTAATCTCCTCGATGTCGATTCGTGAAAGATGAAGGTAGTTTGAAGAGCGACCATACCACTTATACGGACAACGGATGAAATCCCAAAGAAGAGGAGAGAGAGTCACAGGAAAGAATGAGATGGGTGTGTGTGAGTGTGTGGTCCAGATGGCAACCCACCAACCAAAAACAAAACAAACCAAACACCCTACAACACTAATTAACGTCCAGGGGTAAAATCGTTATTTCACACCTACAATACAAATGATTCGGGACGGGCTGTCACATTGGTTGTATGTATTATTTGTCACATAAGATGGTACACTAATGTAGTTTAAAAATATGAACTCCTCAACATTATTTTATTATTATTATTATTATTATTATTATTATTATTATTATTATTGCCAAAGATGAGGTACCCCACACCTCGAAGAATATGACTAATCTATGGTAGGGCCAAGAAGGCTCTAAGACATTTTAGCCCACCTCCCGCCATAGCCAAATGATAAGAGCAACTCCAGCGTTGCAAAGGCCCCCCTAGGGCAACTCACTATTGAATCCTCCCAGTGAACAGTAACTGCTTTTTACATCTCTACCTCTAAACTAAATAGCTATGGCAATAGACAATTAAATATTAGTATTTTTATTTTATAAAATAATAAAAATTAATTTTATTTCAAATTTCGGATATGATTTTTAATCGGTCTCGTTGTACCACGTTCCATTAAATAAGAAATTACAATCCAAAGTATTTGAGAAAATCTAAAATTATGGTGTAAGGTGAATGATAATGATAAGATATTTATAGAAAAATTAATTCTTTTTTTTTTTAAATTTTTAAAAAAAAATTCGGATTTTTTTTATAAATTGTTTATATTTTAAAAAAAAAAATTGATTTTTTACATTTTTTATTAATTTTATAATATAGCTGACGTCAGCCTTGCATCATGTGGCCTCAGGCTCTTGTGCCATCAATTCGAGTCGGCCCTCTCACTCGGGCCTCCCCCGAGCACCATTACCCGCATAGGCTGGAGCAGATTACTGAGGCAATTGGGTCATTTCCATCGCCAGTCAATCGGGTTCCAGCTCTTGCTTGAGTTGCTCTAAACGTCCAAAGCCCTCTCGTTACAGTCAAATTGTACACTTCATTCCAAAGCTTTTAACTGTATTTTTGCCAGCTTTGTACTTTAAAGTTTAAACCCAATACCAAAAAAAATAAACCTGACTGGAAATTCTACGATAATTCTAGTGGGACCTTGCCGTTGTTACGCGGGGCGATTAATTGAGTGGGGGAAGAAGATTGGTGGCCAAATAATTGGGCGGCCTCAATCCACTCACACGCCACCACCTCGAATTTTGGAACACACACTCCCTCAGACCCCCGCGCGCCACACACGTACTCCTTTTTCTCTCTCTCTCTGTTTCACATTCATTCATTCAGTGAGGCTTTCATGCTTTGAGAAGCCACATGAACTCCACTGACGCCAACAGCCACCAATCATCAATGGGTACGGCGTCGACGCCGTCCTCAGACGGGTCAGGGAAGAAGGTCCGGAAGCCATACACCATCACCAAGTCCAGAGAAAGCTGGACCGACGAGGAGCACGACAAGTTCCTTGAAGCTCTTCAACTGTCAGTTCTTCATCTCCCTTTCCTCTTTCCTTCATCACCTTCAAATATTCATTTCTGTTTCATTTTTTTTATTTACAAACGATAAGATAATCTACACTGAAATTCATTTAAACTACGGGAGGGCGAGGGTTTGAACCCGTATGCACTGGGTTGAAGAGGAAAGCCCTACCAGGCAACGCACCACTTGGCTATTCTGTTAGTTTAATTGATTGCTTAGTGGGGTTTAGTTTAATTGCTTTTCGTGTAGCTTTGTTTGGGTTCTGTTTTAATTTTTTTTTTTTTTTTTTTTTTTTTTTTTGGGGTTATGGGTTTTATTTTGAATTCGTCAAATTTTGGAACCTTAATACTCTTTTGCTCCAATTTAGTTCTCACTTTACTGTTCATAATTATTATAACTGATTAACTGTAGATTTTGATGTTAGTAGTTATTGAAGCTTTGTGGATTTTCAGGTTTGATCGAGACTGGAAGAAAATCGAAGATTTTGTGGGTTCGAAAACCGTTATTCAGGTTTGAAGCAAAGTATTTTTCTGCTCTGTGGATCGAAATTGGTTAGATTTTGGAGGGATTTTTTAAGATTTTGGTGGGTTTTTGAAGAATTGAGGTTTTGCAGATTCGAAGTCATGCCCAGAAGTACTTCTTGAAAGTTCAAAGGAGCGAGACAACAGCACACGTGCCTCCTCCGCGGCCAAAGCGCAAGGCTGCTTATCCTTACCCGCAGAAGGCCTCAAAAAATGGTTCTCCATTGTTGAAGATTGTGTCTTTCTAAAGCTTAAACCTTAATTGTTGTCATCCTTTTTTGTTTTAATTGTTCAATATCGGAATTTGCAGTTTTACTTCCGTTGCACGCATCCGTTGCTTATCCTTCTTCAATGAATGCCATTTCATCTACGTATTCTCCTTGGGATGAAAATTCCATTTTGATAAACCCTCCATCGGACCAAATTCTGTTGTCACAAGAAGAATTTACTAATCTTCACGGACCTGAAGGTAGACATTCTCTTTTTCTAGTTGTTTCCTTGATATGCTTATGGTAGAATAGTTTTGTCGAGAACTTTCCAGCGCTTGTTATGGGGTACGACGTTACTGATTCAGCTGATATTGGATCAAAGGGGTTATCAAGGATTAACACATGCAGTCTTAATGGCCCCCTGCCAAGTTCCGAGATACCGAATCAAGGGAAACAAGCTCTTGGGCGTCATGGTGATCATCAGATCGTAACTGCTGACTATATCCATCATCGACTTTGAATTTAAAGAAAATTGATGGTGGGATATTTATCATATATGTATATACTATTTTGCAGGTCTTCCTGATTTTTCCCAAGTTTATGGCTTCATCGGGAGTGTTTTTGATCCAGACACAAAAGGTCACGCTCAGAAACTCAGGGAAATGGATCCCATTAATTTAGAAACTGTGAGTTGAATGAAATTACATTACTTTTAACAATTTGTTTCTTGATAGTTTCTAAGATTAACAAATAACAAGTGACGTGGGATGAGAATAGTTATTACGAATCAATGTGAAATAAGATCAACAAGTAACAGCGGGACTATCATGTGAAAGCCTATCCCTATTAGCCAACAAATTTACCATTCCAGAATAATAGTATCTGGCAGTGTTATCTGAAAGTTTTCATACAGACAAACACAAAACCGTACACTCAGGAGAAGGCATGGAGGGGTTTATATTTCCTGACTCTTACGTAAACAGCGAGAAGAGATGTGCCTGTTGTTAAATATTTGTTGTTTCTGCAGGTTCTGTTGTTAACGAGGAATCTCATCATCAACTTGTCCAGTCCGGGCTTTGAGCCAATGGTAATTCTTACTATTTCATTAGGCATATGTTTCTATTGTTTCTCAGTTATCCTTGTCAATCCCAAATGCCCTTCTAGATTTGAGTATAAAAAGCAATGTGGTTATTGTTTTTCTTTCACAAAAATTACCCATTTTGCTAGCTATGTTTACATTATGCCAAGAAAAAAAAAAATCCAGTTTTGCTAGTTTACGCATTTGCTAGCCCTTGGATTGCTGATGTATTCTCGTTTTTCAACAGAGTTTCGATCTCCCTGAACTGAATATCTTTTCTTGCGGATTTTAAATTTGTTATGAGAATCAAATACTGCTGCTATCAGTGATGAGTCTAATGATCTTAACTATAAATTTCACATGCTATCTTAGAGAAAAACGTCGTGTAAAATAAAGAGATGGGTGACTAAGATGACTCCGAAAATGCTCAAATTAGAAGTTTCAATAAAACTTTACATGCATGACCAAAAAATAAAACTTTTCGTGAGCTGTTTCTTTCTGAGAAATCTTCAAAATCTTGAGAGTTCCATTAACTCTTAATGAGCCTAGCAGCATCCGCTCTTAATTAGTCTTTTTAAAACTTGTGATTTTCTTTTATCTTGACTATTAAATCCCGTTTATTTTTGTTCAGAGGAAGGTCCTGGTATCATATGATGTCAATACGAAAACAGTAGATGCAGGAATTGTCCCCACGAAGCTGAGTAACGGTCTGTCATGTTGAACTTCTTCGTACTTACACCCGCTGACTGGTGTGTGTTTTGGAGCAAAACTGTAGTGTTTCAAGAACAGCAAATGCCAACTCCGACGTTAGGAATGTAGTTCTGCAGCCACAATGCCAACAGCGTTACAGGATGCTGAATGGAAGAAACATTTGAATTGGTTTTCAAGCTGCGCAAAGGATCTAAATTGTCTGGTGGCCTCAATGGATGATTTATTCGTAACCCGGATTTTGTCCAGACCTTCCAGACAAGTATATGTACATCCTGTAACATTTGCTTAGTTTAGTTTTCTCCTCCTTCTTTCTCTCTTTTATTAACATTTTCTGTTAAGGAAACAAATTTAGGTTTGCATCTTGTGCCACCAAACAAATCTAACTACCAGAACGGAGAATTCGAATTCTTATAGCAAACCTAGAAAAAATGTCTTGAGCTGTATTTCGTATAGGTTACTTCCTGCACTTCATGTAATTGTCAATTTGGGGTTAGTTGTATCAAAGTTACAAGGGAAAGGCTTTTTTCTGCGATTGTTATGAGTGAATTGATGAGTAAAGTCTGTGTGTATACGTGAAAGGTTCTTCTTTTTTTCTTTTCTTTTTTTCCTGAATAACATAACATTGACAGTTCAGTAACAAAAAGAAAAAATGTTAGAATCTACGCAACTAACTCAAAATCAATCAGCAATAAATAGAGACGTCGAAAATCAATGAACTCGGGCATACAATTTTACCAATTGCAAATTGAGGAGAGTTATTAGTTACAAAATTAACTTGCACTGTTGCATTATTACTACCATGATCTTCGTTTACCATTTTACTTCATCACCATCTATTTAAAAATTATACTTTTATATCACTATAAAAAGCTTGTAGCTTCGTTGGTTAATAGTATTATCATTTTGACGTGAGATCATTGATCTTCTCCAACATCTCATTCTCTTCAAAAAGTAGTTTCAAAATTAAGAATGTCTTTGGTCAACCATTTCAATATTAAGAACTCATCATCAAATATTGGGGCTAATTTCTCATTTTATATTTCAAAATGTGTTTTGTTCCATCGTAGATTCGTAGTGACACACGCCCCACAAACATTACGAGGCCCAACTGCTCCAGCCTACCTTATCTGGCCCAATATATTAGATATGCTATATCTTTTAAAAATAAAAATTGCCATTTTTTTTTTAAATTTTTTGAGAATACTGTTGACTTTTAGGATTTGATTATTCACGAGAAAAGATTTGTTTAATACAATTACAATTTGATCGTCAGGATAATAATTATGTTAACACATATAAATAATAAAGTTAAATTCTGAATATTATAGCATTTCACAAAATAAATGAATACAGAACTAAATGAATGTAAGAAATAAAGAAGTTTTAACGAAAAGTTCACGGTACTGTTTACTTTAATAAAAAATCATATTTTTACACTAAAAGTCAATCATGATACTATTCATTTTACTTTTTATTTTATCCTTATCATTAAAATTTAAAGGCTTTCAATCATTTTCATTAATTTTCTTACGAAATAATTCATTGACCCAAAAACATGTAAGAAATTCATATTACCTTCATTTGGTAACTTGTTTTCGAAATTAGCAAAATAATAGGACAAAATAGAAATAAAAGAAAATGGAGCAAGTCGAACCCTGAAAAAACCCTAGGGCCCAAACATTGTAGGTATAAAAATCCGCTTTAATCTCATTTCTCACAACCCTAAACCCTCGTATCGCGTCTCCCTCTCTCACACTCCACCCACTATCTCAGAAATGGCCGCCGCCGCAGCTGTTCGTCCCCTCGTCACCGTCCAAACCCTAGATGGCGACATGGCCACCGATCAGCCCCAGACCGTCGCCTTTCCCGACGTCATGAAGGCGTCCATCCGCCCGGACGTTGTCACCTTCGTCCACTCTCAAATGTCGAACAACAGCCGCCAGCCCTACGCGGTTTCCAAGAAGGCAGGTCACCAGACCTCCGCCGAGTCCTGGGGAACAGGACGCGCCGTCTCGCGTATCCCCCGTGTTCCCGGAGGCGGGACACACCGCGCCGGGCAGGGAGCCTTCGGAAACATGTGCCGTGGCGGGCGCATGTTCGCTCCCACCAAGATCTGGCGCCGCTGGCACCGGAGGATCAACGTGAACCAGAAGCGGTACGCCATCGTTTCGGCGATTGCGGCTTCTGCCGTTCCCTCTCTGGTCATGGCCCGCGGTCACAAAATCGAGACCGTTCCTGAGCTTCCTCTTGTCGTCAGCGACTCAGCTGAGGGCGTGGAGAAGACCTCGGCGGCTCTGAAGCTTCTGAAGCAGATCGGGGCTTACGCCGACGCCGAGAAGGCGAAGGACAGCCACGCGATTCGCCCCGGAAAGGGTAAGATGAGGAACAGGAGGTACATCAACCGCAAAGGACCTCTCATTGTTTACGGAACTGAAGGAGCTAAGCTGGTGAAGGCCTTCAGGAACCTTCCCGGGGTCGAGATTATCAATGTGGAGAGGCTCAACCTGCTGAAGCTCGCTCCTGGTGGGCATTTGGGTCGGTTTGTGATCTGGACCAAGTCTGCTTTCGAGAAGCTCGACTCAATTTACGGGTCGTTTGACAAGCCCTCGGAGAAGAAGAAGGGATATGTGCTGCCGAGGTCGAAGATGGTCAATGCTGACTTGGCGAGGATCATCAACTCTGATGAAGTTCAATCTGTTGTCAGGCCAATCAAGAAGGATGCCAAGAGAGCTCCAATGAAGAAAAACCCTCTCAAAAATCTCAACACACTGCTCAAGTTGAACCCCTATGCTAAGACAGCGAGGAGAATGTCACTTTTGGCTGAGGAGCAGCGCGTGAAGGCCAAGAAGGAGAAGCTTGACAAGAAGAGAAAGCCCATTACCAAGGTAATCGATCCCGCTTGTTTCTATTTGAATTGTTTTTTTATGATACGTTAGTTGTTAGTTTTAAAATATGATTGTTCGTTTTGCTGCTAGGATAATACAACATGATTAGATTGAAATATGCAATATGATATACTAGTTGAAAACTATGAAATAAGATTGATTGTTTCACAGTGTGTTTTGTGTTTTAGAGTATTTTACAGGACGATATGATCACGAAATGATGTGCTTGCATTAGTAATTTGTTATTATTTGGTATCTAATCATACTTGCAAAGTGCTAATGCTAAGAAGCTAATTATACTCTAAATAGTACATGTAATTGTGTTGCAAAGATGTTTAAGTAACCCGCCTCCGTGCGGTGAGTGGGTCTGAGTGGTGTGACTTTATAGTAAATGATGCCCCATTTTATAGGATTCTCTTTATTAGGTGAAGGTGAAGAGCTGTTGCTTGCATTCATATCAAAGCTGTAGTAAATCATAGAATAAACCAAGATCAAAGCTGTAGTAAATGATCAAATTGTTTTGGTAAACCAAGATCCTAGGGCATTTCATTGGGGAAGTAGATAGTTGTTTCAATACTTTGAGCAGGTGAAAGTGAAACATTCAGTATGGCAAAAAAATTGATCTTACATGTTTCCAATATCCGTTATTTCTTGGTTCAGATTATTTCGGACAAGGGAAATGCATATCTAATATTTTTTTGTTTGTGTCGCTCTTATGTAAATCCTATTTCGGAAAAGCAACGCTTGTTCATGTGTAGTTACATATACCATTCTCTATCTTGCTTAATCATGTATACTAATGTCCAATATCTGTTTATCTTGCCTAATACTTGTTCGAGTCTTGGTTACTTCTATATGATTGTGGGCGTGTGCTGATTTACTTGTTGAATTTTCTTTTATCCAGGAGGAAGCTACCGCCATCAAGGCAGCTGGAAAGGCTTGGTACAAAACTATGATCTCTGACAGCGATTACACAGAGTTCGACAACTTCACAAAGTGGCTCGGTGTAGCCCAGTGATTTAGTTTATTGCTTTAAAATTCTACAAGACATTGCCTTTGTTAGTCTATTTTGTTGTGGTGTTTATCTGTGTCTTTTGTTTACTTATGAGTCATGAATGGTAAGTTGCACGGAAATGAATTTAACAAGCAAGTTTCAAGGTGTTTTTCCTCCGTTTGATCTGGTTGGAGATTTTGTATAACGGGCACTGGATTCATATTTGTAGCTTAGTTTATCAATCTAGTTTCGTTCGTGTTTGAATTCCTTCGATTTTATACATGCAGCATGGGGCTGTGTAATAGTTTGGTTATTTTTTCTTTGTCGTTGTCAAACGATGATGCATTTCTCTGATCATGTTAGGGCTCATTTGTTTATATTGCTGCTTGTTATGATTTGGTAAATTCTTTTGCATCATCATGTTATGATTTTCAGAGGCATATGTGTTTTGTTTTGTGAACCAGTTGTTTCTTGGTTGGTTTCGTGACTGCTGCTTTAGCTGATTTGCTCCGGTCTCGGTTTTTCTTTGGGTCGAAAGATAGGGTAAAAATTCGAAGAGAATCGTACCCTTTCTACGACTGCCTTCCTTCCACGTGAGAACTTATCCGACTCAGGTTGTGAATTTAGCTGCCAAATAGCAAAAATAGTACTCAAGGTGGAAAAATTAGATTCAACTAGGGATGGGAAAATGGGTAGAGAAACTGCGGGTCGGGCTGGGTAGACAAGGTTCGGAGCAGGTCCAATATTTTTAGAGGATAAGGGGGCTGGGGCGTGCGTAATGTAAAGGCGGGCTGAGTCCTATTATTTAGGATAACGGGGCCTCGTACCGGCCCGTTCTAGATATAATGGATGGACTCTTCTGCTGCTCCATCTCTCTTTAGAATCCAGAGCCTCCAAACCATCCACTCCTGTCATATCCTCCTTGACGACATCAACCTTTGCGACTTCGACTCCAACTTCGACTCCGTACTCGCTCTTCTCATCGTCGTGTCGACCACCACGCCTACACCACCTATCTCTTCTCGACAAATCATTGCTGTCGCGACCACCAACAACACATGATCGTCGTCAAGAACACTGCCAACAACCATCGTCCTACTAACATTTAGGAAATTATGAATTAGGGTTTTTTATTTATGTGAATTTCTGGTTTAGGGATTTAGGGGTTTTTTTTTTGGATTTGTAGATTCTGTTCTGGGTTCTCAACCTCTCTGTCCCGATTCTGACCACCACTACATTATCCTCTCAATCCGACAGGTTCTCTTCGACGACGAACGCACTTGCAGCTGCGCCACCCTGAAGTCGCTCAAATCTCGCAATTTGTTACTTCGTGCGTCCATCGGCGTTTACCTCTTATTCTCCTCTTGTAAGTCCTCCGGTGCCACCTTCTTCTTTTCCTCTTTCTGCTGCTTCAAATTTCAGTACTCCACCGACCTCTGACCTTGCCACCTCCCAGGCTCCTACTTCTCTTCTTCTCAGCGTCTAAACTCAGTTTTATCTGAATTCGAATTTGGGGATTTAGGAATTAGGGATTCAGTTAATTTGCTTGAAAAATTCATCAAAATTGTTGGGGATTTAGCTTAATTAGGGATTCTATTTTATTTTATTTTATTTTTTGATGAATTCGAAATTGTATTTGAAGATTTTTTTTTT